TTCAGTGAATGATGCACAACTTTATTTTGGTATAATAAGCATAATCTAGAGGCCTTTGCCTTTCATATAAGCCATTTCTGATTCCAATTGATCAACTACAAGTCAAGTTATTATTTGTTGTTCCTACAACTAGGATAAGCGACAAGACTTTTGTCAGGGACTGTATGTGTAAATTTCATGCCTTTAGGTTGTTGAAAATCCTCTTTATAATTACATGTTATTTTTTATGAAGGGTTTGTTTTGTGCGTGGAGGGTTAACCCGGAAGCTTAGAATTAAAATGTGTGCAATTTTAAAGGTCCAGTCTGTAGGATTTAGGGGATTAGATTTGCAGAAGTGGAATACAATATAATAAGTATTTTTTTTGTGTTTTCATTAACTTAGAACGAACCGATTGTATCTACATAGGGAGCGGGTCCTCGTCTGCGGGGATCGCCATGTTGCACTGCTATGTTTCTACAGTAGCCCAGGAAAGACAAACTGAACACTGGCTCTAGATAGGGCCATTTGAGTTTTCTCATCAGCCATCGCAGTTAGCAGCCCCTCCAGATGAGCAGCATCAGAAAAACACAGATTTTTAGTGTGAAATGGCTTTATTCAGTATTTTTACTGGTTTAAATCACTGGGTCCGTTTGATGTGTTCCCAGTAAAAATCTCATGAATGTCTGGATCTTAACTTGTCAGAGAAAAAGGTGAACACACATTAGCAGGTGCTAGGTTAGCAGCCTGTCTTTAATGAGCTGAACAGTGTCAGAGAAGTACTGATTTCTAACGTGAAACTGTTTGGAGAGGAAGACACCTCTGTGGATAATTCTGCTCCCAGTAAGAACCTCCTGAACAATGAACACTGAGGGAATCCTAACTGGGAGTTCACGTTTGGCACATGGGAGAACTTTGAGCAGGTTGTAGTCTGCTGTCCTCACCACTGGATGCCACTTATCCTATGACTCCAACCCACTGCTCCTTTAAATAGGAACAGGTTCCCGTTTCAGTGTCAGTTGCTCAATAATGCCCTTAACAAGCTTGAATAAAAAGGCAACGGGTTGCTGTAGTAAATCTAATCTTCAAACAGTTCATCAGAATAATAACTTAAAATCCATCAGTCAGTGTTGAGTAATCATATTTTATCTTGACACAGTGTGTTAAGGAGTAACATTACTTGAACGCACCTCCTTTAGATATTCAAAAAATGCCTTCAAATCCACGGTGCAACCTCCTCCGCTCCTCTGTGGTTTACCTCCTCGACTGACACTCCCGCCCCCTCACAGCTCTGGCAAAACATCTCCCCTCTGTCTCACCCCTGTTGCACCAGATGTGTTTGAGTCACAAGTCTTACAAGGTTGTGACATTATAAAGGTTCCTGTTCTGGTGTCAAATGTCTGCATCATCAGCAGGAGTCAACGTATGCTTAACAGAAACGATAAAATAGACTCAACACTAACTGTGATGGATTGTCTCTCTGCTGCAGGTTTCAAGTCTCTGCCGGTTAATGTTAATAAAAAAAGAGCTGAAACAAGAGCTGCAGTGATTCGTTGATCTCAGATATGATAATTTGATGCATCTCTTGTCTTACATTGAAGCAAACTGAATATCTGACTGTTGGTGTGACAGAAAAATACGTCACAGAGGACTGTGGGAAATTGCAACAGGAATCACCCCTGTTCTCTGACATTTTACAGACACACTGATTAATAAGGTCAATCTAAAAACTGCTGAATGATTTATAGAATGTGGTGTAAAACATGTAAAGCCAGCAGGGTTGTTACTAATCTGTGCTCAGGGTTTGTTACCTGACTGACCTGCTGAACGCTGCTGCTGCTTCGTCCTGCAGGAACAAAGCAACATATTGGCCCTGGTGGGGGGGGACAGGAAGGAGAAAACAAACACACCCAAAGTGCTGACACCACAGTGTGCTTCACTGAGGACTCCTGTCCAAAGATGCACCAGATTTACACCTCAGGGCTTTTATTCCAACACACCTTCTGTCCATTCTGTCCATTTGAGAAGAAAAGGTGTATGGCTGTATAAATTGCAAACATGACCCATTTCAAAAATCAGATAGTTGCTTAACCCCTTTTTATTATTTAAACTGTGTGTTTGTGAGTTCACCACCAGGATTATGTTTGAATTATTAAGGTCTAACTTTGATGCTGGAGTTTTTCCTCGAAGGCACTCCCAGCATTTGTTTGAAATTATAGTCTGTATTACGGCTGCAACTAGCAATTATTTTCATTATCGGTTAATCTGCTGGTTATTTTCTTCATGACTGGATTAATCATTAGGTCTATAAAATATCAGAATATTGGAAAATACCCATTGTTTAACTGTCCAAAATTACAGTCCTCACATTGGAGAAAGTAAAACCAGCAAGTGTCTGGTGACTAAAATGGTGGATTGATTGTATAAATAGATCTGCCAATGGACTTATCAGTTAATCAGCTTATTGTTGCAGGTTTAGTCTTTACAATCCAAACACTTTCTTTTAGTTTGTGACATTTTGTGACAAGTTTAGTTTCAGTCCAAGGATTCAAACCTACAGCCATCCATTCACATGCCAGCCTCTCTGACTCTGACCTCCAGACCGCCGTGGCTCTTTTTAAAACCCTCCTCATAAATATAGAGATGAAAAAATTCCTCCACGTCTGGATTCCTGACGCTCAGCGGGAGAGCAGAGTCCCAAAGTCTCTGGATGGCAGAGAGGTCTGAGAACAAGAGGATTGACTTAATATATTGTTCTTGTAAGCTGAAGCTAGATGTCTAAATATTCTGATATGAGCAGAGAGGTACAGAATATAAATATATATAAAGATAAATAAACGCTGAATGAAACAGTATATGTTCATTTAGCATGAAAACATTAGATAGTAATTTCCTCCTTTGCAGCGTGAACTGCTGATGGTTTCTGATCCTGTTATGAAACCTCTGGCTGCCTTCACAACCCGCTGTCACAGCTGGTTAAAATCCCTCTGTGTGTGTGTGTCCATGTGATCTTAGTGTATTCAGGCAGGCTGAACTGCAGTTCTGGTCCATAGAGTCCTGTCTGAAACTGACACAGGACCAGTTGAACTGGACAATAGAAAGTGAATTTACATTTTGCAGTTTACACAACTACTTTTACAAAGTAGTATCTGTTGTTGTGAGAACCTGAATGTGAGCTCCGTGATATATTTATGAATCTGTGGTGAAATCAAAAGAATGCTGGTGAATTGCTGCACTTTGCTTTTAGAACAAACTGATTAAGAATAAATCTACTTACTCGAGTTCAAGACAAACACATGTAGCTCTTAAAGTCCAGGTACGTTCACATCAGGTGTTCAGGCAGTAGGAGTGTTTCATATCTGACGGATGGTTTGCAGTGCCTCAGATCTCATTCACACCTGTTGTGAAGAGTAACCTCTCATTATTTCTTTTTTAATATCTCTGTTTATCTGTATTTATTGCTGCCCTTGTGCTGCTGCAACACCTGAATGATAATGATCATAATGATCATCACGACCCTGTTACTGAAGATAATCCACAGACCTTGTTGTGACCAGTTTTATATAGGACCTATTTTCTTTAAACTGATCTACACTCATCAACCGTATAACTGCACAGAAGGAAGCATGCATCTACTGCTAGCTCACCTAGCACCAGTGAGCTAGCTGGCATTATCACTCAGCCAAGGAGGGCGCCATTAATGTTTACATCTCATGCTGTCACAAGCACAAGCTTCTTGTCCACAAGTAGAGGTACACTTTTTTCTGTGTGGTGATACGGTTGGCAGGTGCAGTACGGTGTACTTTTGTATGCATTTGTAAATGTATTTTTTTGCACTTAAAGCACCACAAGCCGAATGCCATGTAATTACATTATATTCAAGAGAAGGCAGACATCTCTACAGATGGTATCTCCAACACTCGGCAACTCACACCAAAATAATCTAGATTAAATACTTAAATTTTATGAAATGATGAAAACACCAGCGCATGCACGAAGACAGACACACGCATTGTGACATTCGTTCTCTGACACATGCAACATCATGTCATCGTGTCACACACGCACACGTTCTCTCTCAACATCACTCTCAGTTTAACACACTTCATCTCTCTCAAACACACTCTCATCTTCGTCACGCACTCCAGATGGTTTCCTGAAGCAGATGGAGAGGGTGATGAACACAGTTTGACACGCTAACACAAACACTCATGTATTCCGCACACAGCTTTACTTGGTGTATTTGACAAAGTCTCTTTCGTTCTCTCGCACACACACTTCTGCTCGTCCTCAGGTCACGAAAGTAAAAAAAAAACTCTCTGATTGGCCAGCTGTGGTCTGAGGTCAGTGGTGGCCGTGCTGACAGGTGATTGGCCAAAAGCCATTCTGATATAAACACGTCACATTGAGCCTTTCAGTGGAGTTGGAGCAGCCGCTGCAGCACTGAGACACACCAGTTCTCAGGAAGTTCATTCAGATTTTTAAGGATTTTAAGGTCTTAAACTCTGATCGGAGAGAATCCAGTATCTGCTTTTAGTCTTTTCTCTTCCTCCTGCAGAGGTGAGGATTTCAAAGGAGTTGAACTCCAGTGTTCAAGATAGTTTTCTTGATTTGGTCGACTGTTCCAGTGGCTTTAAATTCTCAGTTGTGGACAGAAAAGATGGACAGAGAGGGTTTTTGAGAATTTTTCGGATGGTTGTATCAGGTTTATTTGAAATGGGAAAGTCTTTATTTTCTGCTCTTTGTCCGCTGAGATTTTAGGATCAGATCTTGGCAGGTAGAGGTGGTGTTCTGCTGAAAGAAGACAATTTTGACTCTTTTTTTCTCTTCAGTACATCGGGGATGGAAATCTATATTTAGTTTTAAGTTTTTATGGAAGAGTTGTAAGATCTATTTTGACACCGTCTGGAGTGGAATTTCTGATCCTCCCCTCTTGTTTCCTCATTTTTGTCTTCTGCACCATGACTGTGTGTTATTTTCTTTGTGTCCTTGGCTAATATTCTAACCGTCTCTGTCCTCTCAGGTTCTGTGGCACCTTGATATCTTCAGACGTAGTTTTCGTCAGCTGACGACTCATAAGTGTATGGAGGACTCGTGCATTTTCTGTGCTCTGAAGGTAAGAATCAATCTGACTGATGCTTAAAGCTGATCCTGGGCCAGCCTCCTGTTCCTAACACTGACTGCCTGTCTGTATCTTTAGAGTATCTTCGCCCAGTTTCAATACAGCAGTGAGAGAGTTTTACCATCTGACGCTCTTCGCAGCGCGCTCGCCAAAACCTTCCAGGACGAGCAGAGGTTTCAGCTCGGCATCATGGACGATGCTGCAGAGTGCTTTGTAAGACAGTACACACACAGTTTTTCCTCGCTCATCACTGTGAAAACATTAAGTAACATGACTTATTTAGAGGACATGTTTACTTTTTGTGTCATAACCACATGAACAGTTGATGATTGTTTCTGTTCTGTGTGTTTCTGCAGGAAAACATCCTGATGAGGATTCACTTCCACATTGCAGACGAGACCAAAGAAGACATCTGCACAACCAGACACTGCATCCCGCACCAGAAGTTTGCCATGACGCTCTTCGAACAGGTGAGACTTAGATTTAGTCCGAGGGTGCTTTCAGACCTAGAGTTGTCTTGCTTTAGGTTGTCTTGCTGTCTGAATCAGGAACTGATTTTTGTTACTAAGTTGTATAATTGTCTAGAGTTGGTTCATGTTCTCACTGCAGCATTTACAAGCGGACCAGATAAAATGCTTTGTGTGAGAAAGCTGCTCTTGATTGTTCAGAATTTCCATGTGGGAAAAATCCAGGAAGTAAACCAAACGTTGAAGAAGAGTACACTTGCAAGATAAATGTGACGCTTTCTAATGTCACAATGGAGGGACAACTACGCAGGTTGATTTTAGCGCTGCTCATCGTGGACTATATTGCTGTCATTGTTCATTTTAGTCAAACCATACAGTTTGAAAACGAGGTGCGGCTCCAACTAGAAAACAATGTTTTGATGCATTGGATGTGCTGAATGTGCATATTAAGGCAGTACAGGAGGAGGTGCACATTAATAATCCTCCAGGACTGTAACATGCTCATGTTTAACCCAAACAATGTGTCATGTGACTGCAGTTGGTTCAGATCCAGGTCGGAACACGTTCTCACCACAAACGAACCGCACCAGAGTTCGTTTGCAACCGGACCGAGACCACCTCTTCAAGAAGGTCTCAGTCTGGTTGTTTTGGTGTGCACCTAAGTGCAATTGCTGTGTTCACACCTGCCCAAACGAACCGCACTAGGGGGGGAAACAAACTTGAGCTTCATTGAACAGAACGAAACAGAGCAGGTGTGAAAGCACCCTGAGAGTGAAAAGTGTTGTAAAACCAGGAGAGTCACAGTACGCCAGCTAAGTTCTTCTCTTCTGGAACAAATGACAAAAAACATGTTCAAAAACAATTCCTACCTGTTATGTTTTAAACTATACATTTAGATAACAGGACAGGCTCATAGTTTTTCAAGTCTGCCTTAAATGAAAAAAATATGCCAAGAAAAACTTGTGGAGGCTACTTTGCCGTCTGTGATTGATTATGGTGCTAAATAGTATATGCATGCAGCCTCCTCCATTTTACAGAGTCTTGATTTAGTTAATCGTGCTTTTCTACATTTCATTACAAATGCAAAGACCCTTACTCACCACAGCATTCTTCATGATTTGGTTTGTTTCAACATCACTGACCAGTTGCAGGAAAAAAGCATACCTACAAAGCAAAACTAAATAAACTTCCAGCCTGCCTTTTTATCCTTCTCTGTCTCAGCTCTGGCAGTGACCAGCCACACTCCTCCAAGTAGTTGCTTTTTAATGTACCCTGGGCTTTGAATGATGTGGGGAAAACTTAATTTTCCTGTTATGCAGCTTTTGCGTGGAATAATCTGCAAAAAGATCTAAAATTAGAAACTTTTATATCCATTGATGAATTCAAGGGCATCATGAAGAATGTGGTGATAGTAGTACGAGGCTGTTTTTCTTGAGAGGCCACCGAGTTAAATAGCGGTGTTATTTTTGCACGGCTGATACCTTTCTTGAGAAAGGGACTTTGATAAAGGTAAAATAAAATAAATACAACAACACTCATGACACCGTATGAACTGTGAAACTGGTTTTGCATGCTGTAGTCATTCCTCTTGCTCATCCTTGACATTTAAAGATCCCACTTTCTGTGTAAAAATATACTCTGACGTTTATCTGAAGCTGATATGAGGCATTAGAGTTAGACGCATCAAGTAGAGAGCGCCTAGATTTACTCTTTTTAGTACAAAAACTCCTCTTTGTGTTACTCTCCCCCCACTGCAGCTCCACAGGGAAACACTGAGAAAATACGAAGAGGGATTTTTATACTAAGAAGACTTCTGAAGATACTTGATTTGTCAAACTCAGACTGCAGAACTCCCATTTAACCCTGGTTGTGTTGATTGTGGATTTAGTTCTCTATCTCTTCAGGAGGAATTATTACAGCAAACAAAACCTGTTTTAATGGTCACAGGGACAACTTGTCTTAAGACAGACTTGAAAGATTGCGAACATATGATCATAATTTCTGTTTCTTTCTGCTTGTCTCTGTTTTATATAATCAACTGGGGATCTGTTGTTTTCCATTGTTGGGGCAAGAAGTCACCCTGAACTGTGAGATTTGTAACAGGCACTATCTCTGTTTTTTGATATTTCATGGACGACACAATCAGTTCTGCAGATTAACTGACAATGACAATAATCGCCAGTTGCATCCTGAGTTTTAAGGAATATGGAACAGTGGCTTTACTCTTGTTTAGCTGAGTTAATGAATTCTAAATCTTGTCTCCTGGCTGCTTTAAACGATAACATCAGTTATAAGATGTCTTGTTGTGTAACTGCAAGCTGTCAGGAGACATCATTGCCCTTGCGAAATCTGAACACAAATGGTCAGTTGGAGATGCATGATAGGCACAGGTGTGAACAGAGATGCCTTTTGGCTGTCCATTTGTGTTTGGATCACTGAAACGCATATTTATACCATATATTAACAGGCTCATTGACATCAGACCAGTCTGCATATAGTTTTGGCTGCGTTTTCATGGAAACAATGCTGAGTATCATCCCCCACAACACAGTCTAATTCTGTGGGAAATGTTGCGCTTATTTTGTCCATTCGTCCATCTTTAACTATCTTTTCTAAACTTATTTGTGGAGCTCAGTGATGACCATTTCTCAGAATTTTTAAGGTAAATAAATGTCTTCTGAAACCACCAATGAAATAAATATTATCTTCAAAATATTGTCATATTATTATGTCGAGGTGTTTGGTCAAAAATATTGTGAGTTTTGTGAATATCACTCAATTACAAGTCAAACTCCTGTTGTCAAAAGAGTCAAAAGTGTCTGATGTGATGTTTACTTTGTGTCTTTGTGTATTTGCGTGTCAGTGTGTGTGCAGCAGCTGTGGAGCGTCCTCAGACCCTCTGCCCTTCATTCAAATGGTCCACTACATCTCCACCACCTCCTTGTGGTAAGTGTATGTGCGGTGTGCGTCTGTGTGTGACGCTATGTTTAGCTCTCACCTCAGAAGAGGAAAGTTAAGCCCCCTAAACACACATGCAGACACAGACACACACACACTCCTGTCGCTAGGTTACACTCCAGGGTCACCTAGGCAACCGACTAATCGCTGTGCACACACACAGGTGATTCATGTTTGTCTTAAATTGTTTCTATTTTTACTATCATTCTTATTTTTGTCTTTTAATCAGATTATTATTTATTTTGTTCGAATAATAATCCTGTTATTTTATATTATGATATGTTAGACCCTTATTTTGCCATCTTTGTTTGGTCGGGTTTGTGAAATGATTCAGTTGTACTTGTAAGAATCATATCATGAAAATGTCTTTTATGCAAGCACTCATGTTCGAAAGTAAGAGTAAATGTAAAAGTCTAAACTATGACAAATATCTGTGAGTCACAAAGCTATGAAGATCTCATTTCCTCCTCCTCCTCTTCTCCAGTAACCAGGCAGTGAAGATGTTGGAGTCGAGGGAGAAAGCGACTCCTGGCATGTTTGGGGAGCTGCTGCGAAACGCCAGCATGGGAGACCTGCGCAGCTGTCCTGTAAGACACAAAATATAAATATCAAACATTAAATTGCACTGTTCATTTGAATGTAAAGCCCCTTTGCCCACTGCACAAAAAAACACTTACACATGCTAAAATAAGGCTTTTGCATGTAATGGGAAAGGTTACTGTGGGCATTCACACCTGGGTCAAATGACTCTGCTGTAGCCACGAGTATTTTTTGACTCCCACTCCGATTAGCAGTAATGGAAATACAACATGTGGTTGAACACGCTAATTTTAGCCCCTTAACCAGGTGAAATGCAATGACATGTCACCACCAAAGCAGCGCTCAAACATGGTTCCAAATTAGTCTGCACAGGGTTTGAAAAAGAGACTGAATAAGTAGGAGATACATATAAAGAAGTAACTACCGTAACATTTTTCATGCTGCTTTCTATTGCTTACTTACCTGTTTTCCAACCTGTCTGTGAAGTCGAATGTGACACACCAGTAAAAAAAACAAAAAGTCATTCTCATTATCATATGGCTGTCTGTAGCAAGTTTTCCCGTGTTTAAAAAAATAGCATACACATGCTAATGTTGGCGAAGAAGGGATATAAATGTTGTACTTGTTGGTCTTCCTCTTCCTCAGAGTCAGTGTGGCCAGCAGCTCAGGATGGCTCGTGTCCTCCTCAACAGTCCAGAAATCATCACCATCGGTCTGGTTTGGGATTCGGATCACTCGGACCTGGCTGAGGACGTCATTCACACCCTGGGAACCTGCCTGCATCTGGGAGATGTACGAAGTTTTATAAACCAACACTTTGATAAACATCAGAGTCATCAGCGTATAGTGGGAGAAAATCAAAAAGTGGGCCATTGAACTCTTCTTCTCTCGTTCCCTCTGTAGTTGTTTTACAGGGTGACGGAGGAGAAGGCTCGTCAGGCAGAGCTCTACCTGGTTGGCATGGTGTGCTATTACGGGAAACATTACTCCACCTTCTTCTTTCAGACGAAGATCCGACGATGGATGTACTTCGATGATGCACACGTCAAGGAGGTATATTCAGGTGTCATATAGAGGTGTTGATATTAGGGCAATAAAGGGCAATAAACTAATCATTTCAGCTCTAATATCATGATATATATCAATATCGACTGAAATGCTGATCATGAAATATCATCATGATACGTGTTATAGCCCAGCCCTAATTGCTAGATGTACTTTTGATCTTTGGCTCGCTGTTTCCCTCTGCTTCCAGTCTTTATGCCAGGCTAGGCTATCCACCTCCTGATTGCAGCTCTGTACTTGAAACATAAGATGGGTACAAACTGAACATCTCATTGTCAAAAAGAAAGAGAACCAAAACGTTGAACTATTTCTTTAGAGTTTATGTTACTGAAAGTTTTCATTTACTCAAGTATCATACTTAAATACAGTTTTTAGATAGTAGAATAGATAGTTTTTAGAGTTTTTAGCGACTTCAGAATTCCACTTTGCTGCAGTTCAGAGTGAAATATTGTACATTTTACTTCACTACATTAGTTCCATAAATTTTTCCAGATTGAGAGTATGGCCATATCACACTGGATGCAGAAGGGCCCTGAAATGTCAGCTGCTTCACAGCCAGCCATCAGCAGTCGCCTCGGTGTTCACACCAGAAGCACATTTCTCTGCAGCGGTCAGCAAACGATTTTGCTCCTCTGCTCTTTCCTAATCACGTGTAGAGCTCTGTCTGCTGGTGTGTATGTGTGTCCACTTGTCTCTCTCGCTCTGTGTTTAGACATAACTGATATACATGAAAGCATGGGATCCATATTTTCTCATAATCAGATGTTTGTATCTTATAGAATATCTGGTTTATATTGTTAATAGTAGATTATCAGTGTATTTTCTTGCCAGATTCGCTTGCGGGTAACGGAAAATATAGATCAGATACAGAAACTGTCCCAACTGGTTAATATGGGTGACGGGACGAAGCGAGCAGGGCTCCAAGGAAAATCAGCATGTTTGATGGCGGTTCTGCATCCAGTGTGAACCTTCAGAATCCAAAAAATAAATTAACAAATAAATTCTGATGTATTTATCATAGGGTAATCTACAGCTGCAACATTAAAGTGATGAACATATTAATGGTAAACGGACTGCACCTTTCTAGTCTTACCACTACTTAAAGCGCTTTTACACAACGTCACATTCACCCATTCACACACACATTCACACACTGGTAACAGAGGCTACCATACAAGGTGCCACCTCCTACTCAGTAACTGTTCACATACTCACACACACCTATGGTACAGCCATCGGGAGTAATTTGGGGTTCGGTATCTTGCCCAAGGATGCTTCAAGATGCGGGCTGGAGGAGCCGAGGGTCGACCGCCAATCCTCCGATTAGTGGACATTCGCACCACCTCTAAGCCCTTATCAATAATTCTAATCCAATAATATAATATACAGTATATTATTCTGAAATGGGACTTTTACTTTTGGTACTTAAAGTATATTTTGATGCTTGTTCAAGAGTTTGAAAGCAGGATTTCAACTAGTATTTCTACACTGTGGTATTCCTGCTTTTACTTGAGCACTTGACGAGGGTCCTCACAGGTATTGAAACACAACTGTGTGTGTGTGTGGCAGTTTAAGGAAAGGAAATGACCTCAAGTTGTAGTCAGTGATCTCTCTCCCTTCCTGTTCATCCTTACATCTCTTTCCACCTCCCTTCTTTACCTCCACTACCTCCTCCTCTCCCCTCTTTTATTTTTACTTCACTCTCTTTTCTGTTATTGCTGTGCTCTAATAACATTGGTGGAATGAGATATCACATTCCCTCACTCTCTCTGTCTCTGTTCGTCCCTCTCTCTCTCTGCTGGTTGTGAAAACAAGGATATCCCTCTATTGTTGATCAGTCCAGCTGGACAGAACTGAGGGTGTGGTCAGAGCACACACACACACACACACACACACCACAGTCGACACTTTTGCTCACACATCTCTTTCTTTCTCTTGCACAAACACTCACATTTTTTTCACACACACTGAGCAGTACACAGCTGACATACTGTACAAGTCGGCGTTTTTGGATGTCGGGATGTTCTGTTAGGTCTGAGTAGATCTGGAGGTAAACATGGATTTTTGTTTTTTTAACGGATGAAAGGTTGAAATAACAAACGGGAGGATTTCTGTCGCACAAGAGCAGGAAGACGACTTTTTTTTTTCTCAGCCTGATGGAACAGCCTCGAACATTTTAGCTGCCATCACTGTTGTACCTGCTGAGCGCTGTTTTCGAGGGACGTCTGTGCTGCAGCTGGTAAATTAACCAGCTACTTTTCCTGGGTTCAGCTAATGGTTTGATAGAGAAGGCTTTATTTTAAAATGAGAATATCTTCTGTTTCCAACCACGTGATCAGTAGGGCTGATTGTTGTTGGAAATATTTTACTCTACCAAAGTTTCCATACCTGTGGGTACCTCTAATCTAATCAGGCCCGGCCTCTAACATTTGAGGCAAAAGGTTAAAAGTACATTAAGCTCAAAGATTTAATTGAGATCTGAAATCATCTTTTAGTTTTCTGAGAAGGCGAAAACTATTAAAGTGAATGTGAAAAAGACATGAAATCTTGATGAAATACTAGAGGTTTAATGGTACACTGAAGTCACGGTTTGACACGGCAGAAAAAACTCAAATACATAACCTGTTTCTTCTAACGGTAATGGAAGTGTCAAAGTGTCGTTCTTGTACTTAGTTTAGCATCTCTTTCCTGCTGCTGCACAACAGTTTCCCTCAGGATAAGTGAAGCTCCATCTTATCTTGTAACAGCTCTGGGTTGACTGATCAACGGAGGGCAAAATTAAAAGTAAAACTGCATGTCCACACCTTAAAAAAAAAATTATATGATATAAACATAACTGTACTGGACTCAAAATTGGTCGATTCAGATTTGGCTGATAAATATTTAACTATGCGTTCCTCTTTTTACGATATAGAGTCTGAGAGTTTGATTGTTGTTTGGCAGGATGTTCAGGGTGACAGCGACATTTTTGTAATATAGTAAACAGGCCGAGTTAGGCCTCTGAGCTAATGCGTGCTAACTAAACTGAGGAGAGATCATAAATGTGCAGCAACATTCTGACACTAGATATAAAACAAGAGCCAGAGACTGTGTCATATTAAGTTGCTGTGAGCTGTTTGTTCAATAGTTCTAAGCAGAAAGTAGAAGATAATATTATTTCAGAGTCTGATGGGGCAAAGCCTCTCCTCCGCTGCCCCTGTCTCACTCAGAATCACCATTGGTCTGGGTCTGCAGCTGACTGTAGTGGAGAGCAGTGTGAAAGAGAGGAGTACTCACTCAGCAGCTAAAGAGGAACGAAACTTCCCAGACGAGCCCTGCACACTGACTGACAAAAAACAACAACCAAATAAACCAGAAAAACTGCTTGACTTGACTGAAGTTTTGTTCTCTTCACCAGAAGTTTGGAGGTTTGCCGATGTCATTCTGGGGTGCCATAGCATTTTTATCAGCTTTTGGGGGTCACTGTCTACTGTGTGTTTTTGTCCATCCCCTGCAGATCGGTCCCAAGTGGAAGGACGTGGTTTCTCGCTGCATCAAGGGCCACTACCAGCCTCTGCTCCTGCTGTACGCCGACCCGCGGGGGACGCCGGTGTCGGTCCAGGACCTGCCCTCACGCTTCGACCTCCGCAGCCTCAACAAGGCCTGTTACGACAGCGAAGACTCGGGTAACTACAACACAGCTAGGAGTCGTAGTAGTAGCACAACAGCAAACATTCAGGTAACTAAACCAGAATCGGTAGTGCTTGTTGTAGTCGTAGTAGTACTATGACAGACAAGTCTGAGGTAAAAAAAAAAAAAAAAAAAAAAAGACAGAAGTATTAGAAGTAGTAGTAGTAGTTGTAGTGCTTGTTGCTCCAGTGGTGTCCAGGTGTGCCTGATATTATGTGTAATTGTGTGTGTGGGTGTGTATATGAGCACATCACCACTGACGCCCCCGACTTGTGTACTAACCCCACCCCCCTCCACCCGCCTGGCCAGGCCGCGAGCAGTCAATCTCCAGCGACACTCGCACCGATTCGTCGACGGAGAGCTACTCGTACCGACAGCCCTCCCACTCGCACCATGAGTCCCTGGCCAGTCACTACTCCTCTGACTCCCAGGGAACCGTCATCTGCATCGAGCGCCCAGACGGACCCCTGCACGCCTCACTCTGCAGCCTGGATACCATAGGTGGGTGGTTTGAGGGGTGGAGGAAGTGTACTTTAATACATTTAAAGTAGTGGTGGCAGGGTAGAGGTGGTTGATGGAGGAGGTGAGAGCACATCGGCTGTTGTCGTGCTGATTAATCACAGCAGGTTTCCTCAGTCACCTCTATGACAACACATCATTCGTTTTAACTCATTCATTCATATTTGGATTTGATCATCTTTATTATGAGCAGAAAAAAAGCAGTGTTTGTACTGCTGTGCAGCCAATCACACTCTGCCATTCATCTTTGACTCCTGTCATTGTGTTGTACGATGTGGTGATCATGCTGTAAACATCCGTTGCCGTGCTTCTTGTTGCTAAGGCCACGTGACGGACAGTGAGCAGCACCATTCTCTGAGGAAGGGAGGCGGGGCCGGGGATAGGAGGCGGAGCTCTAGCCGCCACCGGCGATCTAAACCTGACAACGAAGCCTCCTCGGCCGGGTACCACAGCGAGGGTAGGCGGGGTGTTTGTGCCAATCAGGGGTTTGGGGAGAAAAGGGGCGCTGGGAACAATGGCAGGGCAGCGTGACAACTACTGACTGGAGACTAATAAAATATGTCATGTTGAATAAAATTAAACTAAACTGAATTTTTGATGCTGATACTGAGTTTAAAAAAGTCTGATAACAATATACCAATACACCGATCAGCCACAGTATTAAAACCACTGAAAGGTGGAGTTAATAACATCGATCATCTCATGTCAATACAGTGTTCTTCTGAGAAACCTCGGGCCCTGGCATTCATGTGAATGACAAGTACCACCCGACCCATCCCAACACTGTTGCAGACTAAGTACACCCCCTCATAGCAACGGCACTTTGTCACCCACAGCAGGACAATGCGCCATGCCACACTATAAATACTGCTCAGAAATGGCTTGAAGAAGGTGACAAATAGCTCAAGGCATCAAACCTGGCCTCCAGATTACACAATCCTTAATCTAATAAAGCATTTTTAGGAGGTGCTGGCATCCCAGAGGTCCTCTGTCCACACACTGGTGCACTGGGCACCAGTGTTAGCAGTGGATCCTTTGGGTCATGTGGGTTTGGAGGTGGGGCCTCCATGGATCAGAATTGCTCCGGCACGTCCCACAGATGCTCGATTGGATTGGGCCATGGGGATTTTGGAGGAACTTGCACTCTTTGCGATGTTCCTCGGGCTGTTCCTGAGTAATTTTTGCGGTGTGGCATGGCGAATTGTCCAGCTGGGGGGCCACTGCCATCAACGAGTGCCGTTGCCATGAGGGAGTGTACTTGGTGTCAACGGTGTTTTGGTGGGTTATGCGTGTCAAGTGGCATCCACATTAATGTCAGGACCCAAAGTTTCCCAGCAGAACATTGCATTGTAACGAGATGTTCAATTTTATCCATTTCACCTGTCGGTAGTTTTAATGTTGTGGCTGACAGGTGTATCTTTAATTTGAGATAGGGAAAGTAAGATTCCAACTTATTAAAATGGAGCCTATTAACCTGGAAACAAACATATCTGTCGGCCTTTAACGGTGACTTCTAGTAAAGTAGGTGATATGGCCTATAAATAAAAAAGTCTTAAAAAAGAAAGATTCGAAATACAAACAGTTAAACTTGTGTTGCTGTGATCATTTTTTTTTAGTTTTCATTCATATTAGATCATTCGTTCTCTTCCTTCATTCATTTTCAGTCATGCTATGTAATCTTACTTTCCCTTTCATCTACTTTTTGTATTTAGCTTTTATATTCTCACTTTGTCCTTCACTTTTTTTTTTCCTCTCACCCAATTTCCTTCTCTCTTTCTCTCTTTCTCTCTTTCTGTTCTCTTTTGCTTTCTTCTTTCCTCCTCCCAGGAGAGACATTAAAGGAGCAGCAGGTTCCTCGTCACCTTCCCAAACCTCCCTCCTCTTTTTCATCCTCAACCAGTCGCCTCCGAGACTTGAAGGAGACCATGAGCAACATCATCCACAGCCGACCCCTCTCCTCCTCTTCCTCCACTTCTTTACCGGCTGCCGTCCTCTCATCTGAAATCGCCTCCTCCACCAACAACCACCTCTACCCTGCCACCACTACCAATCCCTGCTCCTCCTCCAGTAAGCCCCAGGACTGGGAGGCTGACAGCACCAGCAGCGAGTCCAAGTCCAGCTGCTCAGGGGGAGCAGGGTCAGGGAGGTACCGGCCAGCATGGAGGCCCCGCAGGGAGGCGCTTAACATCGATAGCATCTTCAACCGTGAGAGGCGAAGGCAGGCAGGATACAGCCCACTCGGAGCCTCCCTCCCTGACGACTTTGTCGCTCCGCCCTTAGAGGGAGCAGACGCCTCCTTACCAGCCCAGGAGGAGGTGAGGCCTGTCAGGCCCGGCTCCTCCTGGACTCTACCCACGGCTTCCAGCAGCCACAGAGGAGGTGGAGATGGAACTGCAAGTGGAGGACGTGCAGACCTGCCTCCTCCACCTCCTCCTCCTCCAAGGCTGATCCAGAGGATGGAGAGTGGATATGAGAGCAGTGAGAGGAACAGCAGCAGCCCTGTCAGCCTCGACCTGAACATGGGAGACAGGTGAGCACACACAAGGTCCTGATCCTGTGCTGTTTGTTTACTGATGTATAGAGGTGTCCCGATACCCATACCAGTATTGGAAATACCTCTGATACTGCATAAAAAAACATAATAATGTTAATAGAAGAAATGTTGATTTTTGGGCCTTTACACACTATAAGGTCTGAAACAGAACTATGCATGACATACCTACGCCATATTGTCATCTCATGCATCCTATGGCAGTTTGAATGAATGTAGAGAAGTTACTTAAACAGATTCATGTCGTTGACAATATAATGATAATGATATGGCATTACTACCAGCAGCCCCAACTACTGAAGACTAGTTTGAATCTTCGATGTGCAAAAAATGTAATCTATCGTGTACATGACTCTCTCTCTCTCTCTCTCTCTCTCTCTCTCTCTCTCTCTCTCTCTCTCTCTCTCTCTCTCTCTCTCTCTCTCTCTCTCTCTCTCTCATCTCTTCAGGGAGTGTGTTATGAAGAAGCCTCCCTCCTCCTCCTCCTCCTCTTCCTCAGGACCGTCATGGAAGAACATCAGGTCAAAGAGCAGTGGAGCTTTGCTGCAGGAGCTCAGCTCTTCCAGCAGGGGGAGCCTCGGTACGACACACCTCACTTCACATCTCTTTGCTGCCGCTTGCATTTGTCCTTTGACTTTAAAATTTTGCTTTAGTGAATGCCCAGCTGTAGTTCACAACAATGACTTTATGTGTGTGTTGAGCAGCGACCCCTGCAGGCCGCAGCGAGCTGGACGAGCTGCAGGAGGAGGTGCAGAGGAGAGCAAGGGAGGAGGAGCAGCAGCGCCGGCAGGAGAAGGAGAGGGAAGCGGCGCTCGGCTTCAACCCCCGACCCAGCAAGTACCTGGACCTGGACCAGCTGCAGATACAG